GCGAGAGAGACAGAGCCAAAAGGTAGGCGACAGAGAGGCAAGCTTCCTACAGACAAGCTCTTTAATCACCCAGGTCTCAAATGCAGTCAATTACACTAACACATAAAACAGTCAAATATTTAATAAAAACACAGTCGGAACTTGACCTCCAATACACTTAGGTGCATTGTATGTATCAGGTTTCCCAGAAACAGGAGTAGTAAAAACGGATTATTTATAATGAAGTATTTTCTTTCCCCATCCCAGTAAACTCCTCCCTTGGTAACCACACAGCTGTTACAGTAGTCTTTGGGAGAGAGGCCATGTGCTAATTTTCCATTCTTTAAGTCCCCCAACACTAGACAAAGGTAAAGCAAAGTCTGAATTCTCCTTAGCTTTCAGAATTTCTGAGAAAATAACAGTCCATATCAGAAAACTGGACTAAGTTAATTAGCCAGATACTGACAGCGCTGGAACTGCTGGATTTTAAATTTAAAAGTCAGTGTCACTCAGCCTGGAATGCACTCTAGGTCACAGCCCTTAGCACATACCCCTTGCAATTGTGGCCACTATTTTTCTTTCACTGTGGGAATGTGTCAAATCCTTTCTCTTTGTGTGTGCATATTTGAATCACAGGAAATGGGCTTTACATTCCACTCACAGGAATGAATGAGGTGTGGGAACATTTAAGTACTTCATGTCTTTATCAGACTGGATTTGCCTTTGTTTCTTTTATATAACTGTTTAAAAATTCTAACAATTATAATAGTGATGTCGATTCATGATGGAAAATTTGGAACATAAGAAGAGAAGTGGGGGATACCATCGAAAGTCATTCAAAGACAACTACTGCTAGCATTGCCTTTTTTTAAGTTATGTTTTTGTTTTAATATATTTGTATTGATTTCAGAGAGGAAGGAAGAGGGAGAGAGAGATAGCAACATCAATGATGAGAGAGAATCATTGGTTGACTGCCTCCTGCAGGCCCCACATCAGGGACTGAGCCTGCAACCTGGGTATGTGCCCGACCAGGAATTGAACCATAACCTTGTGGTTCACAGATCAATGCTCAAGCACTGAGCCACACTGGCTGGGCTGGAAGCCTTTTTAATTAAAATATGAATTATAATTTTTTCATTACTAAGGATCATCTTTATATATTCAAGAGAAGTACCCATGAAATGGTTCATAATTTTATCATACAGAACTCTGATCTTTAAAAGGTCATTATTGCCGAAACCGGTTTGGCTCAGTGGATAGAGCGTTGGCCTGCGGACTGAAAGGTACCAGGTTTGATTCCGGTCAAGGGCATGTGCCTGGGTTGCGGGCACATCTCCAGTGGGAGATGTGCATGAGGCAGCTGATCGATGTTTCTCTCTCATCGATGTTTCTGACTCTCTATCTCTCTCCCTTCCTCTCTGTAAAAAAAATCAATAAAATATATTTAAAATAAAATAAAAGGTCATTATGACAATGTTATAATTTTTATTGTAAATTATTGCAAAAACAATAGCAACAATGAAAACTGAGAAATAAACCTGAAACTGTACTTACATAATTAGAGGCAAAAGATAATAGGAATAATATCAGCCTTGGTGAATGTTAAGAAAGATGGGTTTGGGTCCTAGTTCTGACACTAAACTATAGCATGATTAAGAATAAGTCACTTTACCTCTCCTAAGTTCAGTTTTGTCTATAAAATAAAGGGGTCAAATGTTATCGCCAAGGCCCCTTCTTAGTTTAAAGTTGTCTGATACCAGGTGGAATAAAGTCAACAGTTGAGCTAGATTTTATCTGTAGAGGCAACTACTTTTCAATATTCAAATTACTAATTTCTGTTTTTCATTTTTACATGAGCCTATCCAGATGATCATTTTAATTCTCCACCAATGAAAACACAACCAAAGAAGAAAATCAACTGAAGAGTTATTCGGCTAGTCATAAATTCATTCACACTCCAAGTAAACTAAATTAGGGTAGAGATGATGTTGACAATATAGTCAAGTTCCTTCCTCAAAGTATCAGATAATCCATAAGAATATCAAGAACTCCATTTGTATAAAAGAGAAGAATCATAGAATCAGCTCAGAGGACATTGGATTAATAATCTAATCTGGCTTCATATTTTTTAAAAAATATATTTTTATTGATTTCAGAGAGGAAGGAAGAGGGAGAGACAGAAACATCAGTGATGAGAGAAAATCATTGATGGGCTGCTTCCTTCACACACCTTGCTGGGGATCAAGCCTGCAATCCGGTTATGTGCCCTGTCTGAGAATCAAACCATGACCTCCAGTTTCATAGGTTGATACTCAACCACTGAGCTACACAGGCCAGGCTTGCTTCACATTTTGAATGGCAAATTCAAATGCATATAGGAACCATTCATATAGGTAATATGTCTCATATCTGACACACTTTAAACCCAATGATAAAGTGACAGGGGTTGTGATGAAATGAAAAACTTGTGCCCACTACAAAATACAAAGATCCACCAACCACTGGCATGAGGAGTGAGGTCACAGCATAGCCAAATCTGATTTTTCAGGAGAACCTGGTAATCCAGACGTGTGTGTGTGTGTGTGTGTGTGTGTGTGTGTGTGTGTAAATTCTCACGTTTCTAATTTTGGCTCAAAGTTGTTGTTTTTTTTCTTCACCCTGTGAGCTAAATAGAACAATGGTGGGCCACCAAGCCTCCAACTTATATAGAAAAATTGATTTCCTCAATGTTCTAAAATGCACACTAGATAGACATGCTACTATAGCATTCAGGCAAAACCAACCATCTGGGAAAGGGAGGATTTAATTTACATCACCCTAAAACAAATTTGGATAAAGTATTTTCTCCAAATAGTACATGTTTTTTTTCACTTATGAATAAAAGAGCTGATGATGATTGGATTGTTTTATCCATAGGTAAATAAACATGCATCTCTTTGGTTTTCAGAGTTGGCATCCTAAAATATAAATTAACCCTTTTAAATGAACTTGGAAAAAAGCCTTTTATCAATGCATGTAATTTTCTGGAGTTCAGTTTGAACAATAAAATTATCCCAAAGCCTCTGACAACTGCTTCTTTCAACCCCAACATTCAGCCATGAGAAAGGAGGAGCATCATGGAAAGAGATATTCCTCTGCTTTGCTAATGTGCCAAATATTAGAGCACTTGCCCCTCCCTCTTGTTCCTATAAAAACATCTGTGCAAAGTGGGCCCAGCTGGCTTGCAAATATGTTCCATGATGCAGGCCAGCTTTCAGGTCCTTCCTAGTAGCCTTTGTCTTGTCTCCTTTCTGCCAGCATGCATTTCCCTTTTAAACATCTAATGTTTAGTGAAAAAAATCAGTGTTAACAGGTTAAAAGTTAATGTGCTTCACCTGTTTCACCTCCTTCCATTAGTAAACTTGGACAGCACAGGGAGATTTGACATATTACCTGTTTGCTTATCTCCTCTATGGAGGAAATTATGAGGGGTGCTCAAGAGTTGTTCATCAAAATGTCAGGCTCCAATTTGGTAAAATCATTACAACACCTGCTTTCTGGGAATTATCATGAAACCTCACTCCTTTTCCCTTTGAATAGAGCCTGCTATTAGCTAAGAAATATACCCACCCATGACTTTTATTTACAGTTCAAGTCCTTCTTGGGATGATGAGGAGGAAGGAAGTTTCAGGAATCAGCTAAGTGATGGATGGTCGTTAGAGGATGAGGCTGAAGGGCATCCAAAATGCTTGGGAAGCCTGTTGGGGGTTCTTACAAGATTGTGGGAGACTTCCGAAGTTTCCATTAGTTCAGATTCAGTAGGCTAGGAGAACAGGTTTCACCTGGAAACTATCTCAACTCTAGCCAAAGCAGCAAACATCTGATATTCAGATAAGCTTTAAAAATTTTTTGAACAAAAAATCAAGTCTCAAATATTTGAAAGTCATAGAAATGGCTCCAAATGGCAATCCTTTTAAGAGCACAGAACTGGGGTTCCTGGAACCAAAGCTTACCTTTCTCCATATCCTATTTTCTTGCATGGTGATACTCCTCACCTGCTGGTCACCCAACGATACTCTACGCAAAAGAAAAATGGGGGTCTGCTTGGCTACCAAGAAATTTTTAGTAGTTTTTAATTCCAAAATTACTAATTCCTTTTTATCTACCACATCTGCAGCTAGAAGAGATTAAGAGCTAAAAGACAGGTCATAAACCTCAAAGATTAAAAGGATGGAACACTCCCCAAATTCAACTGCTGATTTCCCCAAGAATGAGCCATGTTTTCCCACCAATTAGCACTGTTAGAAATAGAAGATAAAAATTCAGGACACCAGTTAAATTTGAATTTCAGATAAACAGTAAATCTTTTTTTATAATACATCCCAAAATACTGCATAAACATACTTGTACTAAAAAGTATTCATTATTTAGTTGAAATCAAAATTCATTGGCTGTTCTGTATTTTATCTGGTAATCCTACTACCAATGGAATAAAAAATATGGTTGCATTTTAGAGCCCAATAAACTAAAAAAGAAAATTCATTCAACAAAACTAATGAACAGTAATTTTAAAATGTAGAAGGCCCTTAATGGCCAGAAAAAGGCTGAAGGACCCACTTTATCTTACCTCTATACGGGATCAAGTAGCCCAGTAATTCTCCACCATGGCTGCACATTAGAGTCACTTGGGGAATAGCTATCCACTGCTGATGCTTACACCCTGCCCTAGACGAAGTGAATCCAAATAAGATTTTTAAAGGTGCCCTGGGATTCTAATGAGCAGTCAGATTGAGAACCACTGTGCTAACAAAGCAATTTAAAAAAGGTGAAGTGTGATAGAGAACGCATGACTATTTTAACCCAGGATCCCAATTTTGCTGCACATTGCATTCTCCTGGGGACCTTTAAAAATTATTGTTGCCTAAGACCCACCCAGGCATCCCAGTTTCATTGGTGTTGGGCACAGACTGGGTATCAGGAGTTGTAAAGCTCCTCAGGTGTTTTGATGTAGAACAAAGTTTGGAAAGCACTCTGAAACTTACCTCTATTTCTTAGGATGACAGCAGCACTAATTACTTTTGCGAGAGCAGGAACGAAATCAGACCTTCCAAACAGATTTAAGAACACATTTAGATATTACTTATTTCTCCCATGTTGGCTGGCTTGTAAGAACTTAACTCTTTATAGGACACATATTAATCCCTTTCCCAGGAGTTTGTAGGTGGGAGGATAAGGGTCACCCAAGACCCTTTTGTAATTCCCTCCTTTCAATCATATATAATAATGATCACATGCTGATGTAATTCAGAAGTCATACTTCTCTTGTGCATAGAAATTTGCTGTATGCATGAATGGATGGACTAACTTGGAGGGAAGAGTGTGATGCTAACCTCTCGACTAGTTAACAAGAAGAAAAAAAAAATAATCTGGATCTTGCTACATTCAAATGTAGTCATAAGGAACACTGTAGTCTTCTGATCTTTCTTACAAATTGCTGAACACGCAGCGATCCCTGGAACTGTTAGTCCTCCAACATTTAAAAGGTTGCTCACCTTCAAGAAATTATTTAGCCCTGATTTGACAGAAAGTGCAAGAGCATGACTTTTAGTGCCAAAAACTAATAGATCTAAATTTCCAAGGAAGCATGCTTTGTGGGAGGATATGGGCTTTACCCCAGCTGGTTGGGTAATTTGAGAGCCAAAGGAAGACATGACTGTCAGAGAGGACATCTGACAAGTTCCAGAACTTCAGCTTAGGGAAGCATTTCACAAGACTGGCCAATTTATCAAAAGTAGCCAAGTACTACCAGCACATAGTGTATCATGGGGGAGTTAAGGGGTCATAGGTGATAAAACCAAAGTCTGAGCATCCTGCCTGATAATGCAGAGGCAAATAAAATGGTAAAACAATGATTAATACAAAGAAAGGATCACATCTAGCATCAGGGCTTCCTAAAGTTTTATCACTATAAGAAAAAAAGGGAAGATTTTACTGTCTATATAAGGTATATAAAGCCCACAAGACACTTTCTTACATTTTGAGAAAACTTTTAAAATATAACATTATCTTTTAAATACAAATAACTAACATTTCTTATTACTGTACATTTGAGCCTTACTCATGTAGTTGATCATTTCATAACCAAAGGACTTTAAAGATTATTGAAATTGTACACCCTTTGAAATATTTTATAGCTTGGGAAAATTAATAGGGCAACATGTTGCCAGATTTGTTTTCAGGAAACAAACCTGTTAAAACATAATAAAATATTAGAAAAACGTAAGTTTTAAAACTTGAAGATCATCCAGCGTGGCTCTTTCTTTAAAAGAACTTAATACATGGAAGTCCGCATTTATCCAAATGAACATTTACTTTAGCCAAGGATTCTCCCGACTTTCTTCGATAGGGTTATTTATATACCCAGTTCCCTAGTACAATTCTGCTTGAATTATAGAAACTACATCAATACATAAATTCTCAATGAAGAAATAATGATTCAAGTGAGGGACACATATTGTCATAGGTGAATGAAGCAATTAAAATTTCAGAGGGTATCAAATACCCCAAACTACCTATTTGTTTAATTTGTTTTGTGTAAACTGATTAATACATTTTCAGCATTTTTCACTGAAGATTAAGAACAGTTATTTCTTTTACAAGTTACTTGACTTTGATCCCTCAAAGAAAGTTTATAGAATCCCCCATATAAATCAATGAGTTGCATTTTTCATCCATTCATCAAACTTGACTTTAGCGCTTAACATGTCCCAAGCACTATGACACTTGCTGGGAGAAACCACAGTGAGTAAAACTTATATAGCCCTTTTTATCCTCAAAGAGCCTATAGTTCAGTGAGGGAGGCAAACATAAATTAAACAAATTACTACAATCTATTATAATGTTCCAAAAGCTAAGCACAGGGTGCTATGAACTGTATATAGAAGACTTGCCCCAGGCTAAGGCATCAGAAAAGGGGTCCCAGAGGGAGTGATATTTGAGCTGAGACAATGCTCGTAATATTAGCTACCACTTACTGACATTTAAAAAGTATTAACTCATTAAACAACACAATGGCCTATTGAATTAGATACTTTATCTCATTTTGTACTTGAGAAAACTGAAGCTAAGATAACCACAACTAGGAAGTAACAGAGCCTGCAATTGAATCCAGATGCTAACTCCAGAACACATATTGTATTCTTAACCATTAGTCATAGGTCCTCTCCAAAGAAAAGGATGAGACAGAGCATAGTAGTCTGCTCAGGATGCAGTAACAAAATACTTAAGAAACATAAAATTGATTTCTCACAGTTCTGGAGGCTGGGAAGTCAGTTTCTGGTGAGGGCTCTCTTCCTGGCTTGCAGATGTTGCCGTCTCACTGTGTGTTCACATGGCCTTTCTTCTGTGCTGCACAGAGAAAGGGAGATCTCTCCCTCCCCCCCCCCCCCCGCCCCATTTCTTATAAGGTTACCAATCCTATTGAATTAGGGCTCTACCCTTATGACCGTATTTAATTGTAATTACTTCTTAAATCCCTTATCTTCAGATATAGTCATATTGGGTATTAGGGCTTCACCATATGAATTTGGGGGTGGGGGACACAATTCTGTCTATAGCATGGAGTAAACTAGTAACTAGTAGGAAGAAAGTATTCCAGATGACAGATAACTATGATATCACATGACTAAGAGTGTAGATAATAACAGATATGTGTGTTTGGCTACTCTTCTAGCGGAAACTAACCATCTCTACCAACAGAATCTAATTTCTGTAACAAAGACTCTCCCTTCAGATAAAATATTTGCAAATACTGTCACCTAGTGGTAACAGGCAGGAGGTAGCTTATGGGTGAGTATTACTGAACAGGTATATTCAGCTGCTTACCTGGGGGTGCTGATATTTATCAATCTCCCCCTTTTTTAAAATCATTACCTGAGGATATTTTTTCTATTGATTTTTAGACAGAGTGGAAGGGGGTGGGGAGAAAGAGAGAGAGAGAGAGAGAGAGAGAGAGAGAGAGAGAGAGAGAGAGAGAGAGAAAGAGAGAGAGAGAGAGACATCAACGTGAGAGAGACACATCCATTGGTTGCCTCATGCATGTACCCAGTCTGGGGATGGAACCCACAACTGAGGTACATGCCCTTGACTGGGAATTAAACCTGTGACTCTGGTCCTTGGGCCGATGCCCTGACCACTGAGCAACTGGCCAGGGCTCAATCTCCCCTTTACTGTGTGTGCTCCCAAGGTGTTTTTCCTAGGAATAACATTCAAAAAACTAAACATTACAACATCAAGGTAGTTATACTTCTTCCTACTGTATTTACTCACACACACACACACACACACACACACACACACAGAAAAGTAGTGTGACAGTTTCAAGCTCTCAGAGAAAGAACAGGAGCCTAAGTTTAATCCCATCTCATTTTGAGTCAGACCAGATAAATTTGGGCCAGCAGAAGAGTAAGTAATATAGATCATCAGTGAATATGTTTGATTCAGCAGTGTAGATATGAGTCACTGTACAGGATAAAGAGCCTCAACTAGTTGAGGTAATGTCAGAAAATAAAAGACATGTGTAATGGGCACTGGAAGATAGGAAAGTCATAAATAGCAACTAAAGACTTGTGAATAGCTGAAAAAATTAGGATGCTAGTATTTTTATATGCATATATACCAAACTAACTAGAGTGGATACTATTCTTGGCAAGTAAAAATCATAACTAATATAAATGTTCAGTCTTAACTCTAAATGGCTTAGGTGGTAAAACCACCTGAAGAAGTCAGCTTAACAGGGACATAATGGGAATGTGAAGTGGTGCCAAGAGAGGGATTACATACAAGCTATTTGGATCCTTACTTTCCTTCATTATATACGTTAGGCTCCTTCATTTAGGATAAACCTTCCTTCTGGTTCAACCAGGGCATTATTCTCAGAGGAGCCATCACTAGATCCTACCTCTGGAAATTAGCAACTTTCAGTGTTAGCCTCATAAAATCCTAAATGTAGAATAAGTACTTGACAGGTTAATCTGTCCACTAAAAACCAGACATGGGTATTATTGAATGTATTGCTTAAAATTCTTTATGTTGCAAGTAATACAAAAACTCAAATTGAATCCATTTGAGTTCAAACTAAACGGTTCAGAGATAACTCGAGCTTCAAGAATTGCCTCATGTAGGGCCCAAACAACATGATCAGAACTCTTTTCTTCCTCTCTATTTATCAGCTCTGCTTTTGATTCTATTTCAAGCAGTCTTAAGTTTCATGGACCCAAGATGGCAGCTGGCAACTCTGGGGTGAAAAGTTTAAGTACAGAAGGGGTTAACAAAATCCATTTTTCCAGCAGTCCCAGTGAATACTTCATTTTATTTCACTGACGTGGATTCAGTGACATGTACATCTCTGAACCAATTATTATAACTAGAGAGATGGGATACCCTGAAGCTGAAGGGTGGGATCAATTTTAAACAATCCATATGGCTGAAAATAGAGGGAAAGATGAATTACCCAAAGAATAATCAGTATGCTTTTGATTCTTAATAATATTGTATTATACACATGAATAGATCGTAAGCATTCTCAAAGGTAGCACAAGAAATATGTGTGTTAATAATTTCACAATATACAGGTCTAGCAAATCAGCACACTGTACAGTTTAAATATATATAACTAGAGGCCCGGTGCATGAAAATTGTGCACTTGCGAGGGTCCCTCAGCCAGGTCTGTGCCCTCTTGTAGTCCAGGAGCCCTCGGAGGATGTCTGACTGACTGTTTGTGAGCCCAGCTCAGGGCTTCTGGCTGAGTGGCACTCCTCCTCTGGGAGCGCACTGACAACCAGGGAGCAGCTTCTGCATTGGGCATCTGCCCCCTGGTGATCAGTGTGTGCTGGGGTCCAACCCCAGCAGGTCCAGGGGTCCCCAAAGGTGTGGACGGAGTCGGCGAAGACTATCCACCCTCTTCCTACGGTGGAGTCCGATCCGTCCCGAGTGTGGGGCGCTAACCTAGGGGTCCCTGTTCGGGCGCCAGATGCTGGTGTCCAACCCCAGCAGGTCCAGGAGTCCCCAAAGGTGTGGACAGAGTCGGCGAAGAAGGAATTAAACAG